TTTATTTGGCGGGAATTGTTTTATATGACTTATAGAGAAATATTTTGAACAAAAATCAAATCTATTACTATATAATACGGAGAAGAAAAATTATTTGAACAATTTGAAAATAATCATTTCGTTTTCCCGCTTCAATATAGTGTTTTTCCCGCTTCTTCAATTCGTAAAATTTTTTTTGGATTTTTTTCAGCCCATGCAATTAGGTAACCAATCAAATCGAATCTTTTAGCATTTAATTTGGTAAGGTGTTCCGATTTTAGCATTCAAATCCGATTTCACTTCCTTTTTTTATGCCAATCAATTCAATTTTTTTGGTTGTTTCAAAATTTGTTTAGATTTATATTTTTATTTTATTAATATATTTGGAAGAGAATCAATAAATGTTTATCATAACTTTTATTTTAAAAATAAATTTGAATAAGCAAACCTTTTACTTTATATGAAATTCAAAATTACATATTTTAATATATTAATAAACGTTTATTATTTATTTTTTCCTTATGTGATATAATAGAATTTCGGTATTAAATTTATAAATTCAAACATTTAAAAGAAAAGATTCTAAATAATTTTTTTGGGTAAATTTCATTTTATCTTGGTTTTTATTATCACATTTCTAACAAACTAATTAGTATTATATTTTTTATATACATTATCTAATCGATTTTTTATGATACAATTAATATAATATCTTAACAAATTAATCATTTGTCTAACCGGATTTATCTCTCTAACAAACTTGCCAATTTTTTTAAAATTAAAATGGTATGATTATTCTTATGGAGATACTTATCAATATATTAAATATTTAGAAACTTTTTTTAATTAATGAGTTATCCCTCCTTTTATTTTATTTGAAATTCTGACTTATATTTTTAATTATATTATTATTTATTTTTTTACATGTAAATATTTATTATTTATTATCTAAGTGATAAATATTATTGATTTATCTCTTTAATAAATATTTATTATTTATTTTTTTTCCTTACGTGATATAATGTAAATTTGGTTACTAGATTTTTAAATTCAAACATTTAGGAAAAAAACCACGAACAAATTTTTTGGTTACATTTTATTTTATTTTAATTTCTATATATAATCACAATCCTAACAAACTAATTAGTATAATATTTTTTACCCATTTTTATATAATCGGATTTCTTAAAATATAATTAATATAACATTTTAACTATTTAATCATTTGTATAACTTGAGGTAACTCATTATCAAACTTGCCAATTTTTTTTTTGAAATTAAAAAAAAATTGGAAAATTTTTATTTGTAAAATAATAAAAAATAACTTTACTTTAAAGTCTGGATTATTTCCATTATTTTTTGTACGTTAACAATCATATATTTTGGATTATTGATTTAAAAAAACAAATCAAAACTGTAAGGTTTAATAATATTCCTTAAATAAAAAATATTGTATAAAGAAAAATATTTAATATTATATATTTTTCATTGATTGTATTTATTTTATTTTCATAATAGACGAGATGTGAAAAATATAAATAATTATATTTAAAATAAAGTCTAAAAAATGTTTAAAATATGAACTCTTCCGTGCATCGCACGGGATATACACTAGTACCTAAACATGAAGTGAAGTAAATAATGTAGATATTAAACAAAATTTATTGTGTAGGAGAATTCAAGGATGTTAGTGTTGCAATTTTTCATGGTACATTTTTTTCATCTTTTTGTGAAAGTTAAATTGCGTCCTTATAGTTTTAATGTTATCCGCCCACTCCTTCGTGTATAAACCGAATTAATGAAGAATTTGGTTATGTTTGATCAAGCTTTTTATATGCAGACAATAATATCATAAAAAATTAAATTAAGGTTTGATTATAAGAAAAAAAAAAAACTCTTTTTTTGTTAAGTAAAAATTTGAATTTTATATTCGTTTTTTGACTACATATTATATTATTAAAAATATGTTTTCAGTTTAAAAAATTCTCGATTTCGGTTCAAACTACACTGCTGCATTTTGTTGCTTTTCCCATTTCAAAACCAAAATTTCTCTAATTTGCACGACTCTTAATTTAAATGTGAATCATTGCATTGTACCTCCATATCTAAAATTTTGTTTGAAATTAGTCAAATTACAGATCCGCTCGTGATATTCTCTGTGAGAATGCAAATTAGAGAATTTTTTGTTTGACTTTGTAAAGAGTTTTTAAAATTAATTTACATTTGCTTGCATCATTATTTGCGACGTGATATCGAATAATCTTTGTTTTTTGTGTTTTTGGTCACTGATAGTCTTTCTTTGTATTTTGTCTTTATTATGGTCACTAATAGTATTTGTTAGTGCTAAATTCTGTAGAGAATCTCATAAGAGAAATAAAAATTAAGATAACTATAATATAAATATCGAGGCATGTAGAATACGGTTTCTTTAAAGCAGATTCAGGATTTGTATGAGCGTTCGTTTTTCAAAATACAAATAATATTTGTTTGTGCTAATAATATTTGACTTGTTAATTCGTCACTAATAATATTTGTTTGCGCTAAATTCTTTCATTTGGACAACAAGTCTTGCATATGCGTGTAGTATTCCTAACACTAATGTTGGAAAAATTAATTGAATGAAATTTGTAACTTAACTCTTGTAACTTGGTTTAACTTTAATGTTTAATGTTTTAAAGTGTTAACTTCTTTTCTTTAAAGTTTGAGAGTTAATGTTTGGCTTTGGATTCGTCTTTTAGACTTTATGAATAGAGTCATCGTTTGTGTTTTAAAACACACGAAAGCAAGAAAAGCAAATACAATATTTCTAAAGAATTATTTCCCATTTTCTTTAAGTGTTTTGGTTCAGGCATAATTTCAATTCGTCGGATTTGATTTGGTTTTTCTGTTGTATCCTGAGAACTGACGTTTATAGGGTGCAAATCTGTTTTAAAGACACTGTATTTACCTCCATATTTATTATAAATTCATCTTATTTTTATTATCTCAATAAAATTTCCTACAATTAATATATATAAGGAGATATATAAGCATGAAAATATCCTGCCCTATATACCAAAATTTTTAGTATCAGCTTCAAAGCTACAATTATCAACATTGGTGCTCTTTTTGAATCAAATGAAGACCTATATTAGTAGTCTAATTTAGTAGCCTTGGAAAGATTATGACAAATTCCCCATTTAATCTACACAATTGTTTATTGTTATGCCATTACTGCAGATTAGCACGCCATGCTTTTTTAACAAAAGTGCATTTTTATTCTAAAAAATGTTATATTTCTATTATTTCTACTATAATGTATGATATATCACTATGAAAAGGATGAAGTCTGACTGCCAATAATAGTGACCACAATACTTCAACAAAAGATTCAATGATAAAATACCTTAATGACAATTGCAATGTATATTCCAGTGGCATAGCTTCGTTGGGATACTCCAACGGATATCAGTACTAAATATATTCAATTTGAGGTATTCTTTCCTTGAATTTTTAGTTAGAATTTGATGATTGGAACGATCATTTTTCAAATAGTTTATTGTGGAAATTTTCAATTATCTTTTTTCTACTCATATATATTTCAGCCATTGAAAAATCTACAATTGAAATTGTCAAAATTCAATAAAAATCCATTCCAACGCAATATTTCATTGAAATTTTTGCTAGAAATTAAATTCCAACACATTAATAACATTGAAATATCCATTGAAATTATCGTTTTGAATTTTATTGGAATATATTTGTGTTGAAACTATAGCATATTTTTTTTGCAATAAGTATTGCTATTTGAACTATAAAAAATAAAAATTATAATATAATTATAGATTTCTATTCAAATATAATAACGGATCGACTCACGCCTTACGATTACACTGCCTCTCCTCATGTTCTTTAGATGGACAAAGAATCAAAAATGATACCAATTTTTTAGTCAAAGATACTTTTCATTAGCATTGATATGCTACATCAACACTCAAAGAAAAATCGTCTCAAATGTGCATCATAAATTCAATTGTGCATGATGCATTATTGCCACCAAAGTCATTCTACGAATTTTTGATAATTATGATGTTACTAACCTTAACAACCTGCAAAGTATGTTGTACATGAACCTCTTACCTCTGAAAACAGTTGGACATCTTCTTGACTACATCATGTATTGATGGGAAATGTCAAACAACGAAGAGAAATAATAAATTATATATCAATAGTATGATGATCTGTGAGATATTTATTTCTGTACAAGCTTAAAAAATTTTAGTAGGATATAATAAGTTTTTTAATTCATAACATATACTAGGATTGATTAATAAACTTATTAAATCATTTCATAATAATTTTATTATTATTTAATTAAGAATGATGAATTATTAATTGTGCATGATAGATAAAGCCAATTGTTTTTGGGTGATCTTCGGGAGATTGTATATGTAATAGCGGTCAGATGATCTTTGAAGAATTAGTCTGGGTTGACTTAGGATTGCTTAGGCTGACTTGCCTTAGTTTTCGCTTACGTTTTATGAGGTTTTGCTTGCCCTATTTTTTGGGCCTGAGGGTCGGTATTTATACGCGAGAAAAGGGGTCGGTGTATTGACTGAGTACTACTAGCTAGAGGCGTATGGTGGTACTGCGTGTTTTCACGCAAAAGTTGATGAGACATTACGGCGGTGCTACCAGCTTTATCAGGGCGTGTTCAGACGGTAGAAGTGATCGCAAGTCTTCTTTGAGAAGCTTTCGTGGGCGATCGACAAACCTAATGGCGATCGCTTGGGTCGTCAGTGAAAAGATTTTTGTATTCTGGGCTTTGTCCGTTTCTTTGGAATGAGACTCGTATATGGGCCACGTCTTCCTTTTTGATCGGATAATTTCAGGTACAACAGTTTTCAAGGGTCTTGTATGGCCTAACAAATCGAGGTACATGCCTAGAGACTAAGATTATAAACATAAGAACATAAAAATATATAACTCTTTATAAATGCCCTCCCCGCCCCAGTCCGCGGCCCGCGCGGGCAGGCCTGTTTAGGTTCGCTCCTTGGCGGGCCTAGAAAGAAAAAAATGCCCATCTTTTGCGAGGCGGGGCAGGGTGGGCTGGCCCACGGGCTCAAACCCTTTTTGACAACTCTACTCCATTCTGGAGTTATAATCTTGCTCTTTAAGTTTTCAAAAATATCTTGGAACTTGTGGATCTTCAAACAAGAGTGGTTGCCAGTCCAGGTTATAGTCAAAATATCAGTGGCAGACTCGCATGAATTTTCTTCTAGGCCCAGGTGATGATTGGCAATGTTGGAGAGGAGGGAGTCTAGGTGATTTTGTTTCAGTGGACACTCTTTTTTGCATTGTAGATTGTTGTACTTGTGCTATTTTTTTTATTCTGTTAGTGAGTTATGTTGTTAGCATTGTTTTGGTATTACCGCTGTTATGCATGCCAAGGCTTTCAGCAATCTTTGCTGCCTCGGTTGTGCCTTATTTTGAGTAGTTTAGGTCTTGTTGTTAGTTCCAGGCCACCATGGAGTGTAGTCCTCCTATGCTTAGTAGCATTGAGCAAATTTGCTCCCGGGTTGTATTATTTGTACATTTGATGATATAAGATTTCTTATCGNGCCCTTACCAATACCAAACCAATGATTTCGGTACCAATGAAATGCAAAACCGAAATCGACCCGACTTGTAGGCACTAACCAAAAACTCGGTTCGATTTCAATTTTGTAGTGAAAAACGGAAAACAAAAAAGCAACTGCCATGTTCATTCATCAACTCAAAGTCAAACTCTGCACCATCATCAACTTAATGAAAAACCAAAGCACCTATCACCAAATAAAAATCCACAAACAGCCGAAGGTTATCTAAGGAGGCCGAGCACGGTGACTACATCAACTTTAACAGCCGACGATAATCTAGGAAGGACATTTACTGCACGTATCTGATACGAGCGAGTATGAAAGGGCAACAACCTACCAGATCTCGTAATAGATGAAATTTCAGTTTTTTGATCCATGATTCTTGATTTTTTATCGGTCGTGCGCATACATAGTAGAACGGTATGATGAAGTTCAAGAAATTTAAAGATTAAAGGATGCCCTGTTGTCGTCTGAGGGTGTTTCAAGGAAGAAATTTGATTACTTTGATTTTGCCTTTCGATCTCTTATTCAGTTATTCTCAAGAAAAATAAAGACAATGGATCAATTTTGAAACCGTGCAGAGAAGACATGGCTATGTACATAAGGAGGAAAAGGCAATGGATCTTGAATTATTTTGAAACTGTGCTAAGAAGACTTGGGCTATGGACACATAAGGAGGCGATTTATGGCTATGTACATGAGACATGGGCTAAAGGTTATGGGCCTGGGCCTAGGAAATAATAGAAGTTTTCACTATGTAAAGATTTTCGATTCGATTCAGTAAAACCGAAGCATATATTTTCCAATTCTGAAATTGAATCGATTTTTTTTTTTTTTTTTCGAAACGATAATCAACTTCATTAAAAACTCAAACAAACAATGTACAACTCGTACAACCAAATGGTCGAAAGAATCTACTTCACAAGCGAAATAGACTCTATCCGGATAAATCATATCAGATTTCCCCTAGCAGCTTCACAAGCTAATTTCTCACTAAGAGAGCACAACCTACCACCACACACAAAATGTACTATAACATTACAAGATTTAAGATTACAAATGTTCTTAAATAACACCAAAGCAGTAGGAAAAAAGCCAGTGCCCGAGACAAGTTTCTGCAGCAGATCTTTGTTTTTACCATGCATGCACATATGGTCCAACCACCATCTCTAGCCACCTCTAGCCCCCATTTGATCCCTATCAGTTAAGTTTCCTCAACATTTTCCATTGCCTTGTCCATTTTAGCCCAGGTCCTCTTAATGTTCTCTTGTTCACTGACCACACAACCAAATCGAAATGGTTTTGATTACTATTTTTCGGTAACCAAAATAATCGATTCGGTTTTTTTTCATATCGGTACGATTCAATTCGTTTCGATTTTTTCAATTTTCGGGTAAAAAATGCTACCTCTAGTTGGAATGACGACACTAGCCCGGAACATGAACAAACAAAAAACACACACTAAGGAGGTTGTATTCAATTGAGATTCTTAAGGGCTTTTTAAAACTTTTTAAATTTGGTGTGTTTTGTGGACTTTGTAAAACTTTCATGACTTTGGTGGACTTGTTGAGATTTTCAGAGAATTCTCATTAGTGACTTTTTAAGACTCTCATAATGGACTTTTTAAAACTTATTGAAACTTTTATATACTTGTAGTTATAATATTATGTTTGAATGAAACATTAATAAACGCAACATAATAACTAATATCAAGAAGAATAACTGGAAAAAAATATTTTATATATTAGTCCCCTAAAAATTTATGAATAACTCATTGTTATGCGAAATGAGTTATTCACCAAAGCGTTTAGGATTTTAGATTTATTAAACGAGCAAATCAATCCGAGCTTCAACGAGTCGAACTATGGAAGACACAAACATTGTCGAAAAACAGTAATTGTATTTTATAAAGTTATCAATAATATTCAAAATATTTCAATATCAACAAATAAACTACTAGAAAATAAAATATTTTTATTAATATTAAAAAATAAACATTGACAAATAAAAAAAAATAACAAATAAATTATTTACAAGTGCAAACTATGGAAGCATTTACATACATAAAAGAATAAAGGTATACATACATAAAATAACCATAATGAAAAATATGTAAAATAAAGACCACGTTAAATATACGTAATGAACATAAAAATTATACAAAGTATCAAAATAAATGAGTAAAATAATAAAATAAATAAAAATAAAAATTATACAAAATATTAAAATAAATGAGTAAAATAATAAAGCATGAAAGTGGTATGAGATACAAAGTCATGTTAAAAAGAAAAAAGAAAAGGAATGTGAAGAGAGTCACATAAGTCCAACATTTTAAAAAGTGTCACAAAGTCTTCATATTTTTGAATACAATGTGACTTATAGAGACTCTCATAAAGTTTTAATTGAAAACTTTTAAGGACTTTTTAAAAGTCTTTAAAAATTTTAATAGAATGCACGTAAACTTTTCAGATGTCTCTAAAAATTTTGATTGAATAGACCTTAATTGAATACGTTCTCTCTCCTGTGTTGAGTTGCAAAAGACCTTTCCTTTTCCCTCTCATCCATTTAAAAAATACGTTCCTTCTCTCTCAAGCTTGATCTTCTTCTTCTTTTCTGTTTTCTCCAGAAAATTGAAAAAAACATAGAATCCATAAACCCCGGTAACCATGATGAGACTTTTCGGTAGAGGTTCCGTCGGAGAATCTCCTCACACGGCGCCTCCGTCGACTCCACTTCCGGTGTCGTCGTCTAATGTGTCCGCCGGGCCTGCAAGGCCAATCCGATTTGTGTACGCTGACGACAATGGAAGGTTCCATATGGACCCGGAGGCGGTGGCGCTGCTTCAGTTGGTGAAACAGCCCGTAGGCGTGGTTTCCGTATGCGGCCGCGCTCGTCAGGGCAAGAGTTTTATATTGAATCAGGTGTATTTTTGGGAACTGTAATTGGCCACATTAGGGTTTATTGTTAGAACTATATTTGTTTCGCGACGAGTTTGCGATTCGTTTCTTTCATATTCTCCGTCAAGCCCACGTGCTGTTCCTGCGCATTAGGGTTTTTAGTTTAATTAGTTTGGGGAAATAAACTTCGGTTCTTCATTCGTTGTGAGTGATGAACTTTGTTATTAGTTTTGACTTTGCTGAACTCAAGAAATGAGCAAGATGGGGAACTCGTTTGGTTTTCTTTTGGGGGTGAATTAGGGCTAGAGGTGAGGGGAAATGATCTTATTTTGTGTTAATTCGTGGTGCAGAAGCTTTTGGTTTGGAAAAGTCAAGAATTTGCTACTTGGTTTGCAGAGTTTTCAAAGTATATGTAGAAGCTGATAAAGAGTATATAATTAACTCTTCAGACCAAGCTAAATCTTTGAGCAACCTACATCAGTGAATGAAGTACTAGGGTAGTAAGATATGCATTTCGAAAGTGAGTCATTTTTGTGCCTATTGTCCAATGGAAGATAAAAGCGGTTTCCTTGTGTTGTCATTCACGTATGGTTAGGGAGTTTAAATGTAAATTAGTGATAAGGACAGTGACAGCATATGCACTTTTCTCTGCTCTTTGAATGTTTAGAGATCATTTATTTAGAGAATGAATATCTCCATGCGGTTGATCTTGAACATATTATGAGTTGTAATAGCTGAAGCTGATGAAGATATCTTCATCTTCATGTTTCAGTGCAATCTTTTTGAGGGATGAGGCTGATCGTCTAAACTCGAGTAGATTTTTTTAATGATGTAGGAGCTTCTGTTTCTTAACTGTTTTGTTAGTTTAGGAGGTTTGCCATTTTTTTTATAAAATCATTATATTATTTCAAGTAGTTAAAAGTATTTTTGTCATTTGCATGTAACAAGCCATTAGCGTGTTTAAATATTGCAAAGGATTGAGGAGGATTTTACGTGTTTTTTGCAGCTTCTAGGAAGGAGCAGCGGGTTTCAAGTGGCACCAACTCATCGCCCTTGTACCAAAGGTCTTTGGCTGTGGAGTGCCCCAATACGGAGGACTGCACTTGATGGAACAGGGTACAATCTATTACTCTTGGACTCGGAAGGAATTGATGCCTATGACCAAACGGTGAGGATTTCTTCATATAGTCAATTGTTTTACCATTCAACTTGTACAGTTCTTGAATAGTTGATGTTGCCTTTTTTCTTGGTTCTGTATACATTAAGTGCGTGTTTCGGAGCACTTTTGAAAAATCCATTTATTAAATGGACTTATGAAAGATGGACTTTTCCAAAAGTCTCTATAATTTACTTCTATAGGATGGTCTTTTTGGAGAACTAACTCATCCATAACTCCATTTTTAATTTTTAACCAAACGTGAATTATTTGCTCAAATGGACTTTTGCATCCAAACGACAATTTGAGTAATGTTTCCAAAGAAACTATAATTATTTGTGAACTCATATTATAGTTATGCAATTCATATTTAGATTTATATGTTCTGCCTTCCTTCACTCTTGAATTGGACTTATTTTGCATTAATAGTTTATTATGTTCTTAAATCTTGTAATCAGCATTCTTGGAAATAAATACTTTGCCATTTTTTAGCCTTCTTTTTTGTCTCATTCTTTATTTTATTGTCTTTGTATTGCATTTCTACAGGGAACATATAGCACACAGATATTCTCATTGGCTGTACTTCTATCAAGCATGTTCATATACAACCAGGTAAAGGAACATATTCAGAACTTTTATTTTTTCCTTTTTTTTTATGTAAATGAAAAATATTAAGTTGTAGATGTTGATTTTTGAAGATAAAATAGTTAACTGTACTTATTTTATTATATAGATGGGTGGTATTGATGAGGCTGCACTTGATCGGCTTTCACTTGTGACTGAGATGACCAAGCATATTCGTGTCAGAGCCTCTGGGGGTAAAAGTACAGCTTCAGAGCTTGGGCAGTTCTCCCCAATCTTTGTCTGGCTTCTGAGGGTAATTAATAGAAGACAGAAGTACTGCTGTATATATCTCGGGTTATGCAGAATTGAGAATATAACCCAAGACTTACTGACTGGCTTTTTTTTTGTGGCCCTCACAGTGAAATTCACATTCTTTCAGGATTTTTATCTGCAATTGACGGAGGACAATCTCAAAATTACACCACGTGACTACCTAGAGAGGGCATTGAGATCATCAGAACAGGGAAGCGGAAGGGATTTTGCTGCCAAAAATGAGGTTATACATACACATTTTATTTTTGTTTCTATTCTCGTTTATGAAATTAGTAACTTTTCTAATTCTTGATTAGAACTTGTAATTGGTATTGGAATTAGTAGTTCGGCGCGTACCATTCTTTTTAATTTTAATGATCAGACCATTTTCTTTGAAATATACTTACTAGATTCGAGAGTCCATTCGATCACTTTTCCCGGATAGAGAGTGCTTTGCTCTTGTGCGGCCCCTTAGCAATGAGAATGAGCTTCAAAGACTCGATCAGATTCCGGTCAGTAACATTTCTATTGAAGTTTGTGTTGAGTTACTCGTACTATAATTTTTTTACTTCTTCTTTGGCCATAATGGTTTTTGTTTCATGCAGCTGAACCAATTAAGGCCTGAATTCAGATCTGGTTTAGAGTCTTTGATAAATTTCGTTTACGAGAGGACGAGGCCCAAGCAGATGGGAGCATCAGTGATGACGGGGCCCATCCTTGCTCGTATGACTCAATCATTCCTTGATGCCATTAATAATGGTGCTGTGCCTACAATCACCTCATCGTGGCAGGTTAGCTTGCTCTATGTATATGCAACAATCATCTTTACTGCTGTTGTTTCCTCATCTGTCTTATTTCGTTGCCTATATTCTTAAGATAATAAGATCCTTTTATATATACTTTTGTGAATTTGGTTACTCTGCATTGTGCTGCAGAATTATAAATAAATAATATCTGACAACAGATTTTCATTATAAATATGTTATCTGGCCATGTGTATTATCAGCAGATTCCATTGCCTATTAATACTTTTCGATACTCAATTCTATTGGCTTAATGACATGCCTCGATATCATGCTTTCTGGTTAGTTCATATTGAATTTGCTCTGAATGACTATAGCCTTCACTGTCGATCTCTAATCATCAAAATTTTGCCTATTTCAGAGTGTTGAGGAAGCTGAATGCCAAAGGGCATATGAATTGGGTACTGAAGTTTACATGTCTGGCTTTGACCGTTCAAAACCTCCAGAGGAAGTAAGTGTTGCCTCTTGCAGTTTTTCATATTTTTTTCTTTGTTGTTTACCTATTTCAGGGGGTTTTGTTTGTAGGCTGCGCTAAGAGAAGCACATGAAGATGCAGTTCAGAAATCAATGGTTGCATTTAATGATACTGCTGTGGGTGTAGGTACGAGTAGGCAGAAGTATGAAAAGCGTCTTCAGAATTTCTTGAAAAAGGCATTTGAGGTAATCTCTTATTTCATCTTTACTCATAGTGTATAGCCCGTGCGGTGCACGAATAAATAATATTATATAATAATTATAACTAAAGATGAGAATAAACAATATTTATTAATAATTATATATTAAGATGTAGGTAAATAATATTAAACAATGACTAAATTAAAGATGTGGGTTACATGTGATACAATTTACTTATCTTGTATAAAAGAACATAAAAAATATATGTTTAAAATATTAATCACGCTATCACACGTCCATGCATTCAGAGATTGCAAAGACTCGTAATATCCAACTCTTGCCTAGAGGAAAATACATGTGAATTCAATTGTCTATGCATCTAGTGCACCAAAAATTCTATGGAGTCATCAGATGGTTTTCTTATGAAGTCATCCATCACTTGATCTATTGACACTGTCCAAATTGTATTTATTGTAGAATACGTGTCAATACACTATTTATTTTCATATGAAAATACATAAATATCTCTCATAAGATCAATTTTGTGCCTTTCAAGCTTTCCTTCATATACATAAAAAATGATGAGACCCGTTAGGAGCCAACAAAATAGACATTGAGAATCTCCAAAAACTACAATTAAAATTCATGAAAATGGTAAGATTGCAATTAAAACTTGTACCACAGTAAAATTACAAATAATGTTCCTACATCTTGCACTTAGGCTAGCAGCAACATGGTTTGAAGAAAATATCCAAAAACTTTCCAAGGATAATTCACTGGGAACATCAAACATTCAAATCCTTTATGTTCCAGCTAAGAATCCATTGGCCCTCGGAAACTTTAGGCAACAGTGCCAAATCCAATCTTCTCATCACTTTCGCCAGGTAAAATAACACCTGCATGTTTTTATTTTCTTAAACTGAGATTGTAAGGGTACCATGATATCACTTATGAGGACTCATAACATTACCAAAACCTGTAATTCTTCTATGGAAGCTAATTTTGTCTGTGATTTTTAAATGATTTTTGTTAGAAAAAAACAGGCATGTAAATCAACAAAATACACACAATTCATTCTCATACTTCATACCGATTACGATTTGTTTTTTTATTTTTTTATTTTTTTGTTCACTTTCATATCACAAATACACAATTCAAAGAAAACATTAAAAATTTATATAAACAAATTAAGCTATATATAAGTTTGAATAAATTCCTTAAAAAAAAAAAAATCATACCTTTGGTTGGTCCACTACCATGATCACAACAACAACTCTCTCTTTCGAGCTCCCTGTTGATCAGGCCAACAAAACTCTAATCTCAAAAAACTCCACTTCAACCACCTCTCACCACAGAAAAGGAGAAAAAAGAAAAGACTAATAAATTATTATGGAATATTTTTACAGAACAACATATATTAGTAGCAAGAATTTTTTAACCCATCACCTGAATCAATCCATGCTTAAGTGATTAACATATTTTGGGATACAAAAATAAAACAATAATTTTTTAAGCAATAACAAAATCACAAAGAGGAGCTAACAGACGAACTCAATTCCACCTTATCAAAGTTATCCCCCACTCAAAATCATTCTTCTAATTTGTTACTAAGGTTTTTTTTTTTTTTTTTTTTTTCCACAA